AAAAAAAAAAAAAAACTATTTGAAAAGTCTTACGATACGATACGATAAAGATATTTTTTTGGTCTTTTTCCCCATATGTTTGGTAGTGATAGCACATGATTTGGCACCGACAAAAAAAAGAAAACTGCAAGAAAATTGGTTGATAAATGAGCAAGTTATAAATTATTTTTAATGTCTATGCCTTTGACCGGAAAGTCACCCCTGCCAACATGGCTGCCATGTCGGCACGGTGATTAGCTGGGCTGCTATAATGCACTGGCAGATCTAGGGCAATTTCAGAAATTCACTGATGCACTAACACCACTTTGCGAGTGCATGTGTTTGAAGAGGCAAAGCGTGCTCCCCTCACAATTTCTGAATCCAGCCAACTGTATGTTATAAAACAAATCAGTGGCTCATGCTTCAACTGTTTCTATCTGCACTGCCTGACGCACTGAATGCACCGTATCCCCAGTTGGAGCGCCAAAGCCTGTATCCCACCGAGCAGCAAAGGTTTGCAAGTGTTTGCCAATGGAGTGAATGTTGATTTTTCGTCAGGGTTCATTCAAGGTCGCAAACGGTCGCAAAAGCGTTTACCGGACAATCGGCATCCATTTTAATGGTCGCAAACAGTTTTAGCGTCAAGAAAAAGCACTAAAACTGTTGGCAAACATATGGCGAACGTCTGGCAAACGTTTGCGACCTTGAACGAATGCAGACGAGAACTCAACATTCGCTACATTCGCAAACAGTCGCAAACCTTCCCCGCTCAGTGGGATACGGCCTCGAGAGTGCTCTCCGGCACTCATTTAAGGTGCATTCTGAATCACCGAACGGCACACGGGCCTTTATATCTGAGCTTGTGGCTGTTGTGTTGTGGAGTTTGCATTTCCGTTGTGGGTTAATGTCATTGCATTGAGGCTTGAGCAACTGTTGACTTGTGTTTTAAAGTATTCATTTCAAAGTTTGAAAGTATTAACCCTTTCAGGGACGGCGCTTACTACAGTGGACATCGTATCATGTTATCAGGGTGCATGAAAGGGATAATATAGGCAATTATAATATATTTTAGGGGACTGTCAATTATTTGCGGACATAAAAAAAAAAGCTGGATGGAAATGGAAAACTACTCTTGGATTCTCAGATTCTTAATTATACAGCTTATCCAAACATCTGAAAGTACTACCGTATTGGCCCGAATATAAGACGGCCCTGATTATAAGACGACCCCCTGTTTTTCAAGACTCAAGTTTGAAAAAAGACTTTTTGAACAACAAATTAATTTTTATACAGAAAATAATTACAGTACATCTGAAACAAATGATTATAACAATATATTTGAGAAAAAAGGCATGTTATTTTGCCTCATTCAAATTTTAATATCTGAACATTTAAATATGTCAACTAAAGTGCAATCACATTCGTAAAAGAATGGCTTCTGGTTTTTGAAATGTAAATTACATCATAACTTCTCCTCAGCTGCCGGTTAACCTGGCCGATCTTCGACCCACTTTTCTCCAGATTGTCGCCACGTTTCTCCATTTTCTGGTATCTCTTCTATTATTTTCTTCTCTTTTCTTTCTTACCGCTATTTTTTTATTTTTCTTCTTCGTGCTACCGCTATTTTTATTTTTATTTTTATTCTTCATGACAGGGGTTCACTTTGGCCTGGGGAGTCAAGTTCAGCATTTGCTTCAATGATATCTGGCGCCATCTAGCTTCGGGAATGGGTATAATGTCTAGACCCCGAATATAAGACAACCCCCACTTTTTCAGTCTTATTTCAATGCAAAAAACACCGTCTTATATTTGGGCCAATACGGTATATTTCAATCATACCACTACCCATTTTTAATAATGTGTAAATGCTGTCTGTAAATGTCTTCAAATGAATGATGCTATCATACGTGATGTTTTGAATTGCAATATGGTTCAATGATGTTATTTCACGTCTAACTCGAGGTGAAATCCAAATAAATCATCACAAACTGTATCATTAATGCACGCGCTGTAATGGTGAAGAAAATCACATCACAGTGGTTTAGTGTTAAGCATGAAACAGGAGAGTTGGCCAAACAAAGCCGCCGCTCATTGTCATTCTGCCCTCTTGTCAAGTTTGGGTGGACAAGTTTG